GGTGCCCAAAAGGGCAAATCAAACACAAGTGCCCAGAAGACAAGTTAAGATAAACATCAAATATTTCCATCTCTTCCTTATGGAATGATGCTCACTCGCATCCTTAAGCACTTCGAAATTCCCCTTGACACTAAAATTGACAAAAAAGGACGTCACTAATGATGATCGTCTCAGTGTCAAAATCTTGAAAAAGATGAATGCAAACAAAGACAGTAGGGAATTGGTACAAAACTCAGCAATTCCAGATCCATTACCCAGCAATTAATTGAAACATTAACCGTGTTTGGACCTCAAGTTATTTTATTGTTAAAATAAGAAAATGTCCAATTAGAAGCTTTATTTAGACTTCAATTTGAAATGGCACGGGACAAAACACAGCTCTCAAACCCGAAAATAAAATATTCGTAGTTTTATATAAGATTAAGTGCAAAAAACCCTTTTGTAGTATAGATTTTGTGCACAAATAGTCTCTCTTTTTTAAAAATGCACATTTCAATTTATAAAATTTTTTTAAAGGTGCAGATAAGTGTCTCTGCCACTTTATTATCAAAATTGAAATAAAATAAATTTTAAAATCCTAATTTACCATTTTCTTCCTATTATGCCCTTTTCTAAGGGGCTCCTGGTCGCCACATCACTGTCACAACAATTGTTGGCGGCGACTCACCACCATAGTCGCCACACCCAAAGCCACCACCCCACCCCCACACCCAATACACAAAAAAAAAAAATAATAAATAAATAAATAAAATACTTCAAGCTCCTCTTTTGTTTCAATCTGTATGCTCACTTTCATCATCAAACCCACATCTCTATATTTCCCTCTCTTCATCTCCATTTCTTGCCCTAAAAAATCAATACCCATTCTTCATCACCAATTGCATTTAAATTTATCCAAAAAAAAAAAAAAAAATGGAGAGAGAGTGAAACTGGATTTGAATCCAATAGTCTTTCTGGCGATGCACAACGTTGGTGAGCAAGGATTCTAATCAGCAGGATGCAGGACAGAATGGCTGGCAAGGACGGCGGTGCTCTGATCTTACCGGCGTTCCTCGTCGAGCTCTTCCTTGTTCACCGGAAGCTCACTATAACAGGCACTTGCTCATGGAAATCCAGACTCAGTTCCTCACTGTCCTCCGTCGTAGATTGACGCCGTGAAGAGACAATTCCCATCGGCCTTCACCGTCCTCATCACTATTGGACTCCTTGCATCGCCTTTTCTTACCACCACTGTGTCGTACCTAGAATCAGATCACCATCACCACCAACGACGCCTCCATCAACTCGATCTCACCTCCGACGCCTCCAAAGCACTATGTCGCCGTTCCGAAAGTGCCACCAACCTCACCGCCATTATCTGACTCGCGCCTCACGCGTAGATCTAACGCGCTTGTCACGCGTGCACGCATCACCTTCTTCTTTAGCAATTCCCAATCTTCTGCTTCACTGTGTCGGCAACTATAACCCTTCACCGCCGCAGAATCCACAACCATCATCGACGGTACTTCACCGTGTTAAAACAGCGTCTCTATGATTTGTTACGGCGGTACTTCCTGTGTCGAGCTGGTCGACGAGCTATATGCACTCTCCCCCTTGCCTCTGCGTGTGTGCATTTAGTTGATAGTGTTTTCTTCTTTTTGCTATTCTAAGGTCAGCAAGTTACGACGCGTGGCTACCTTAATTTTGTGGGTGAATTTAAAAATTGTCTAAAATGGTAATTTTATATTGCATGCATTTTTTAATGCTACCCCATCCGAAAAAAAAGTGTCGTTAATGGGGAATCATATGGTTACGATTATCTAAAAGTGACGGTTTTTATGGAACGAAAGAAGTATTATTTTATTTTATTGACAAGAGGGTGTTAATATCTTTTTATAAGAATAGAATGTGTTTGTATCAAATTAATAATATAGGGTGGTTTTATATTATAAATGAATTTTTTTACACTATATCGACCTTAGGTAGAAATTTTTAGCACTTAACCTATATATATATCTATATACAAAACTAACAGATACATGAACACACAGAAGTCAATCAACACAATAAATATATATATAACAAGCATTTAAAACACAAAAGTAATAGATACATGCACACACAGAAGTCAATGAACACAAAACCAAGAAGTTTCAGAACAAAAAACCTTTTGGACCTCCAGTTATTTTATTGTTAAAATCAGAAAATATCCAATTAGAAGCTTTACTTAGACCTTCAATTTGATGAAAATCCTACAAAATGACAAGTAGCAACTAACACCAAGATTTAAAAGGCCCACGCGAACCCACAATTTTAATAATAATAGAAGAAGATTAAATCATATAAAAATGTAAGAGCCCGTTAGACTCAGAAAACATCAGAGCACTTTTTGAGTTTAGTCAAACCCACAATTTTTTATTTTTCTTAGTCAAACCCACATTGACAACTCTAAATTAACATGTGGGTATGCATAATTTCAGATCGTTCACACAACACACGATGATACGTATATATTGTTGTATCAGAAAGTCAGAAAGAATAGTCAGTGAGATTGTCGGAAACTTCTTCCATGGAAAATGCTGGTTAATAGATGTTTTATATTTTTTTCTCTTGTGTTTTTTTTTTTTTTCCAAAATTGACAGTTTTGTTTTTGTAAAACATAGTCAATTATATGACCTTTTAAAAAATTTCCACTTTGGACTTGGAAAACTGCTCTCAACACCAATGTTGCACCGTGACCCAGACCAATTTAATTTTCTGAGAAAAATCAATTCAAAACTTACATTCCAAATAGTTTTATTTTTTGAATATTTGTTTCTTTTATTAATTGGTAAATCAATAATTATATAAAAGGGAAGGGACTATACAATAAGGGGGCCAAGGGCAACCCAACCCACACACTCACAAAACTACTGAGGTTGTGAGACCACTGAGGTTCCATTTGGTATGTGTTTTGTTTCACTGTTTTTATTTTTGGACTGTTACAATGTTGATTTTGGCAACAAAAACATATTTGATACGATCTTGTTTTATTTTACATATTGCTAAAACACTTCATAAACAGTAACTCAAAACCAAAACACAAAAAGTTATTTTTTCTTATTTTGACAACCGTCCGTGGTCCAAAACTATAACAGTAGCGCAATACGGGTAAAAAACAAAATGTTTAAAACATTGTTTCCAGATGTGTTTCCGATTTTTTTTTAAAACACTCCTATAACAAAAATAGTGTTTCTATTTTAATAAAAAATAAAACGTTTAAAACAAAACGTATGTCAAACAGACCCAAAGAATTCATGAATATCTATGCAAATCTATGAAGGTTTATTGGAATATGAACTAGGCCCTAAGTCTTATTGGTTATGACTAACCAAGTCCTCTAAAAGAAGAATTCCCATTCAATCTTAAGGTTTCACATTGAAGGCAATGGTATATATTTCAGTACATAGTCTCGTCTTTATATATAAGTAGGTGTCAACATTTTTGAAATGGTGCATTTTGGGTTGCGTGCAAGACGCACTCAATATTTACTCTTATGGTTGGTGTGAAAATTTTATTGAATCTTTCACTATTTTTCATTTTATTTTTCCTTTTTACCAGTTTTGAATCCTTTAATGTGGTTTAAAATTGACACAAAGCCACCAAAATAAAGATAGACTGGTTCTTTTCTTTCTTATAGAGAATAATCACTTTCTATTTGAAAATTCTCTTTCTGACCTAACTTGATATTGTAGTATGAAAATATAATTTAAAAAGTACTACGTAATACATATAAAATGTGATCTATTTCATTTTAATAATAGAAGTCTTTTTATATATTCCTAATATATATATAATGATGCAAGATAATATTATTACTATTTTGTAATTTTTTGAGTGCATATAAAAATACAATTTTGACATACATTTGTACAAAAATGGACACAAAAACGAGTATATATATATATATATATATATATATATGAGAAGAGGAATGGCCGGTAATTTCTCGATTTACTTAACCTTTCCCTCCCAATGTGGGCTACTCAAATTGAGATTTGGCCCATTACAAGTTTTTGAAAAATTGTTCTGAGGACTGAATTTAGTTTGGACTGATACACTACAGACACAAGGCGTTGTGCCTTTCGGCTTGGGCCAAATTCGGCCCAAGTAACAGAACTCTAAATATATTCCAGGTAAATTGTAAAAAAAAACTCCCCTCAATTTTCACAATTTTGTAAAAAATTCTCCTAAACTTTTATTTTTGCACAAAACGCCCAGATACTATTTCAAAAATATAGATATACAATACGGCAAAAATTTGGCAGTTTTAGACCTCAATTATCTACAATACCCTTCTTTATTGATCAAAATGATCTTGGATCAATTTTAGATTCATGGTCAAACCGTAATATTTTGGTAACATAGATATCGCCCTCCTTTTTTTTGTCAGTGACGATTTTTTTTTTTTTTTTTTTTTTTTTTGGGTAAAGTGGGTGTTAACAACATTTTAAGGGTTGAGGTAAGTTGCAACTTTCAAAAAATTGAGGGGGTTATTTACATCATTAGGCTATCTGCAAAACTGTGAAAGTTGAGGAAGGTTATGTTTGTTTGGCAGGCAACCTGCTTTAAACCTTTTTACCATATATGACTCCATCTATTAGGATTTTGTAATTTTTTTTTCAAAGTAAAAATGTTAGAGGTTAGTGGTTAGAGGGGAGGGAGAAGGTGTATGGCTCGAACACTGTGATTTTGTAAAATTTTGACCTTTTAAATTAGGAAAGTACAACCATATTAATGATGGAGATTTCATTTTAAAAAACAATATTATAAAAATTAGTGCGTTGAAATGGCGAAATTATTAGAGGGTCCTAACAATCTGTCATCTTAAATGGGATTAGGCTGGTGACCTTGAAAAGGAAAGTAAGAAATATTACAAAAGAATGAACTATATACCTCACTGTTGTACCAATAAAAAGGAAAAGTAAGAGTGTACAAAAAATAAAAACAAGGAGAAGAAAATTCTCCTTGTGAAAGCAGAGATGGTTCCTAAGATCTTTGCTCCCTTTTTGGTCTTTCATGTTCTTCTAATTGCCAATGCATATGGAAAAACCCATCACCATACTTTTGTGGTATGTGCCTGCCTTCCTCTCTCTCTCTCTCTCTCTCTCTCTCTCTCTGACACACACACACACACACACAATATCTCCCTCTCTCTCTCTCTCTCTGACACGCGCACACACACACACACAATATCTCCCTCTCTCTCTCTCTCATCATGAATGCTATTGCAGGTTAAGTCATCTCCTTACACTAGACTGTGTAGCACCAAGAACATTTTAACAGTGAATGGGAAATTCCCAGGACCAACCTTAAAAGTTCACAGAGGTGACAAAGTGATTATCAAGGTCTACAACAAGGCAAAGCATAACATCACCATTCACTGGTATGTTGTTTTACACACACACACAGACACACACACATATGTATAATGTTGGAAATTTTTTCAGGCATGGAGTAAGACAGAAAAGGAATCCATGGTCAGATGGACCTGAATACATCACTCAGTGTCCAATTCAACCAGGAAATAAGTACACTTACAAGTTTGAATTAACTACAGAAGAAGGGACAATCTGGTGGCATGCACATAGTGGATGGGCACGAGCAACAGTTCATGGCGTGATTATTGTTTATCCGAGGCGTGGACATCACTATCCCTTCCCCAAGCCTTATGCAGAGGTTCCAATCATACTAGGTACTTTTATTTTAATGTGCTAAGGTTTAATTTTGAAAATATTATCTTAGTTAAACATGGTATGAATTTCAAAAATTAGTAATAGTTTTCTCATAATTTAGTCAATGTTTTAATTCTAGCTTTAAACTGTTCGAAAAATAATGCAATCTTCTTAATAAGATGTTAATAGGACTGTGCAGGTATTAAATTAACGGGCCGTTTGGGAGTAAAATAAAATGGTGTCTAATTTACCATTGTACATGGCAGGAGAATGGTGGAAGAAAGAAGTAATGGAAATACCAGGAAATGCAAATGTAACAGGAGGAGAACCTATACTATCTGATGCATATACCATTAATGGACAACCTGGTGTCCTCTATCCATGCTCCAAAAAAGGTACATATAGGCCAAACATATATTATACCATAGGTTAATTTCATTAAAAAATGGCCGAGAGAAACCTGTTTGCTCCCGTTGCACGGTGTAACGAGAGCATTTGGACCGTCCGTATAATAGACGAGCGCATGTGTGGAAATGAACGGTCAAATGCTCTGATTGTACGGTGCAACAGGAACAGGCGAGTTGTTTTTTAAAATGTTGACATATAAGTAGGTAATCTCTATTGATCATATGTGGTCCAATCATAAATTCACAGGTTCTATAATTACAAAATCGGGAAAGTATTAAATAAGGATAACTATTTTATTTTTTTTTTTGAATAAATTCAGACACTTTATGCTTCCTTATTTCTTACTTTCCTGATTTTATAATTACAAATTACATTTGTATTTGTAGAGATCACATGCTCACTTAAGTATTGTCCAAACCAAAAGTATATTTAAGTTGCTCTAGCTAGCTCAATTTATTTATTTATTATTTTTTTTTCCTTCTATAGGTACATTCAGAGTGACAGTGGACTATGGAAAAACATATCTTCTCAGAATTATTAGTGCAGTCATGGATGAAGATCTCTTCTTTGCCATTTCTCAACACAAATTAACATTAGTAGGAACAGATGGTAGCTATACAAAGCCTCTGAAAACAGAATACATAATGATCACTCCTGGACAGTCCATGGATGTCCTATTAGAAGCAAACCAGCCTCCTAGTCTGTACCATATGGCTGCTAGGTCATATTCCAGTGCCAAAGGAGCTGGCTTCGACAACACAACAACTGCAGCTATTCTAAAGTATCGTGGCTCATATCCCCCTCCACCGTCGCCATCTTTCCCACCTCTACCACCATACAACGCGACGCAAGCATCCACTGATTTCATGAGACAACTGAGGAGTCTAGCAAGCAAACACCACCCTGCAAAAGTCCCACTAGAAATAGACACACATTTGTTTTTCACTATAAGTGTCAACCTTCTCAACTGCTCAAACAAGCCATGTACAGGTCCTCTTGGTAAGAGGTTCTCTTCTAGCATAAACAACATTAGCTTTGTGACCCCATCAATGGATGTCCTTCAAGCTTACTATTATGGAATTCATGGAGTTTTCGAGGATGATTTTCCTAGAAAACCGCCTAAGAAATTTAACTATACCGGTGATAATCTACCTGAGAATCTGCTTAACACGGCTTTTGGCACTAAGGCCCTGGTTTTGGAGTATAATGCCAGTGTTGAGCTGATCTTGCAGGGGACTAATGTGCTAGTTGGTGATAACCATCCCATTCATTTGCATGGATATAGCTTTCATGTTGTTGGTTGGGGTTTTGGGAATTTTGACCCTAGAAAGGACCCCTCAAGGTACAATCTTGTTGACCCTCCTGAGGAAACTACTGTTGGAGTTCCTAACAATGGTTGGGTTGCTATTAGATTTAGGGCTGACAATCCAGGTTAGTTTATTTAACATCTTCACTATGCTTCATGTAGCACGTTTTATTTTTTATTTTTCTCCAAAAACTTATATTAGCTGCTAATTGGAAAAGAGTTGTGATACAGAGTTTGAGAGTCAGACATATCCGACTAAGTTTATATGAGTATAAAATTATGTCATCATATTTAATGATATTATGATATCATTTTCTACTCACATAAAACAGTCGGATGCGTCCGACTTTTGATTTACTTATCATTATTCAGAGGAAAATGATAACTGAACCTAAAATATTAGTCTGCAAGTGATGCTCCTCTGATGCGGTTAAGTGAGACCTACTGTATCGAGGCCACTTTGGCCCCCTAAATCGACTTGTCTTTTAGGTCTATAATGTGCCGACTAATATTCACAATTATTATTATTTGGTAATGTAATTAAAGTTGCTAATACTGTGCAGGTGTATGGTTGATGCATTGTCATTTAGAGCGTCATCAGAGTTGGGGAATGAGTATGTTGTTTCTAGTGAAAAATGGTGCGACTCCTTCAACTCAAATGGTCCGGCCACCACTTGATTTGCCTAAATGTTGAGAGCAACATATTGTTTAATCAAATTCAATTGCTTTTGTTAAATAAATCAATTGTTCCATCATTAATGCATTACCATTATAGTTTCGAGTGGGATGGTTCGTAGAAGGAGCTGGGCAAGTTCTAATCCTTTGCAATTTCTTGAGCATCTGGGCATGAACATTTCTTGATGAAAAATAATTTGTATCTTATCAAATTGACAATTGCATCAAGTGTCTTTGATGAAGCACCACTCAAATTGTGAAAAATTCTGTTATTGTGCGCATTCTCTCCATATATGGTAGACAAAACTTGCCAGCATTAGCTTCCAAGTAAATATTTTACAGTACTTCGCTTTTTGCTTTCAGTTTGAAGATGCCCAAATTAGGAAATTTGGCCAAGAACTAGGGTTTGTGTAAAACCCATATTTCTATTGAATTCAATTCCAAACAAGTTTCGATTATGAACATTGATGGAATATGTGTTCATGACTCTCTGCATCACTTAAGCACGGTATACATACATTAGACTGCATTATATAATTTATTGAATGTTTGTCAAGAGTAGATAATTTTTCCTGAATTGTAACCCAGAGACAAAAAGAATGCTTTGGGATTAGGTGTTTGAACCACGCCATCTTGTTGGTGAGGGATCCCATTAGATGAGGTAATATATTTGGTAAGATAAGGGTAGTTAGGTCAAAATAATGAACTAAGGATGGTTAGGTCAAAAAAGGGTGGTTAGGAAATCTTGTTTGAGTGTGTTTTGAGTACTGAACTATGTTACCTCTCTATGGAAGTTGAATTGGTCTTTAATTGTTACATATGGGGTCTAATCTCCAGAGGAGTCTTAAATGCACCAAGTACAAGATCAACCAAATAATTAACAAATAAACCTCTAGACCCAACCAAGCAGCGCCACGAACTCTGTAGATTTGCTCTTAACTCTGTTCTTTCTTTTTCTGTCACTGATTTGGGACCTCTTCTACCCTCACGTGTGAGGGACGTCATTTTCTGTGACTGTTCTTTTGTTTCTTAGCTTTCTGTCCCTTTTGCTTTGCAAAAAAATAAAAAATAAAAAATTAACAAATATACTTTAAATTATGAGCATATTTCATTTTTAATTGAAGGTATAAGAATATTACAATCAAGTTCATTATTATAGGAGGTGTGGCTGTATTATTCAAACGATAAAAAGTCAGATCTTAAGTATCCCACTGTATGTTCATAAATTCAAATCCCTTTCCCCATAATCCTCCCTTAACTCAGGTAAGGAAAAAAAAAAAATTTATTATTATTAATAATCCAGGTTAGTTTATTCATCATCTTCACTATGCTTCATGTAACAAGTTTTATTATTATTTTTATTTTTTTCTCCGAAAACTTGTATTAGCTACTAATCGGGAAAGAGTTGTGATACAGAGTTCAAAAGTTAGACACAACCAATTAAATTTATGCGAATATGAAATGATGTCATAATGATTTCATCATATTTAATGATATCAAAATATTATTCTCCACTTACATAAAATAGTGGGATACATCCGACTTTTGAATTACTTATTATTATTAAGAAGAAAATGATAATTGAACCTAAAATATTAGTCGCGCAAGTGATGCCCCTCTGATGCGGTTAAGTGAGACCTGCTGTATCGAGGCTACCTTGGCCCTCTAAATGGACTTGTCTTTTAGGTCTGTAATGTTCCGACTAATATTCACAATTATTATTATTTTTTATTTTTTTATTATTAGCTAATGTAATTATTAGTAGCTAATGTAATTAAAGTTGCTAATACTGTGCAGGTGTATGGTTGATGCATTGTCATTTAGAGTGTCATCAGAGTTGGGGAATGAGTATGTTGTTTATGGTGAAAAATGGTGCGACTCCTTCAACTCAAATGGTCCGGCCACCACATGATTTGCCTAAATGTTGAGGGCGACATATTGTTTAATCAAATTCAATTGTTTTTGTTAAATAAATCAATTGTTCCATCATTTATGCATTACCATTATATAGAGTATTATCAAGTATTAGTTTAAATGTTTCAAAAAAAAAAAAAAAATTTAAATGGTCTTTTTTTTTTGGTTAAATAACTATACATTGAAAGAGAACAATTTGAATCTCACCGAATTGACAATTGTATTGAGTGTCTTTCATGGAGCACCACTCAGATTGCGAAAAATTTAGTTATTGCATTCGCTCCATATATAGTAGACAAAGTTTGCCAGCATTATCTTCCAACCAAATATTTTACAATACTTTGCTTTTTGCATTCAGTTTGAAGATGCCACAAATTAGGAAAATTTGCCACAAATTAGGAAATTTTGCCAAGAATTAGGGTTTGTGTAAAACCCACATTTCTGTCAAATTCCATTCCGAACAACTTTCGAGTATGAACATTGATGGAAGAAGATGTGTTCATGACTCTCTGCATCACTTAAGCATGGTATAGATATATTAGACTGCATCATATAATCCATTGAATGTTTGTCAAGAGTTAATAATTTTTCCTCAATTACAAACCAGAGACAGAAAGAATGCTTTGAGATTAGGTGTTTGAACCATACCATCTTGTGCCAATGTATAGTGGGGAGAGGAAGAGAGATGATTGTGATGGTGTGTTTGTGAAAATACTTTTTTTGGTTGGTGAGGGATCTCATTAGATGAGGTCATTCACTAATAAATTTGGTAAGGTAAGGATAGTTAGGTCAAAATAATGAACTAAGGGTGGTTAGGTCAAAAAAGGGTGGTAAGGTAAGGGTGGTTAGGAAATCTTGTTTGAGTGTGTGTTGAGTACTGAACAATGTTACCTCTCTATGGAAGTTGAATTGGTCTTTAATTGTTACATATGGGGGTCTAACCTCTAGAGGAGTCTTACATGCTCCAAGTAGGAGATCAACCAAATAGTTAACAAATATACTTTAAATTATGAGTATATTTCATTTTTAACTGAAGGTGTAGGAATATTACATTCAAGTTCATTATTATAAAAGATGTGACGGTATTAAAATTCATGTCTTAAGTGTCCCCACTCCATGCTCGTAGATTCGAATCATTTTTTCCATAACCCTCCCCTAACTCTTAACTCTCTAATCATTTACGAGGTAAGAAGAAAACTATATATTATTATTATTATTATTAATCCTCTAAAACAGCATTAGCATATCATGGGCTAATGAGTACATATTGAGTGAGCCGGGAATCAACTTTCACCATTTTAATTTGGTGAGAAGTGAGAACAGTTTCTTTATGCAAGTGAGACCAAATTTTTTTTTTTTTTCTCTTCCTTCTGGTGAATGGATCGGATCATATTGATTGGGTGGATTTGGTGTGTCGGGCTCACTCAATATCTTCACAAATTTTGGATATGAGATTGAGAGCAACTGCATGGTGCTGGGCCTATGGGTCAGTAACACTATTTGGATCTGTATTGTAAATAATTTTGTAGATGGGCCAGTTGCAAGTACAGTTGAACCACCATCAACGTATGGGCCAATAACTGCAAGAGAAGAAGATGATAATCAAGAAACTCAAAGTGTTAGATAATCTGGAAGCCCAACAACTTTGTTGACCCTCCTGGGGAATTTTGTTATATTCAATTGTATAATGATTTCTCAATTGCAATATAACAAATTTTACATAAATTAAAATGAAAAAATTACATTATCCACTTCTCTGCGATATTTAATTGTTCCATTTTTGCGAATACACTTGTCAGAAAGTGAATGAATATTCTGTAAATATCAAAGAGATTAAAGGTAAATTACATAAAACTCCCTTGAACTATCACTCGTTTATAACTAATCTTTGTTAACTACAAATTATTTCCTTGGACTAATGGAAATACACACTTAAGACGCAGTGTCTATGTCAAACAGCCATTACGAACATAAAATGAAGTGCCATAAATGTAATCTTCACTTACGGACGAGCAGGCATTGCATTTCCGTTCTTCAATTAAACATTATTTTTAGGAAAATAGATAATTTAAGAAATGGATAGCTTAGGGGAGAGAGAGAGAGAGAGAATGGTTAGGGTTTTTTTATTTTATTATTAATAGTTTTTTTTTTTTTTTTTTAATTTATCCAATAGAATCATGGTGGGGTATTTATATAATGATGTGAATATGATACATATGGACCAATATTCTGTTTGTTCCTCTATTTTACGCAATGGCACATGGGTATATGGTCTGTTCGTGGTCCCACGCAACACTTTGGACCAGCATCGATATATGGGCCAATAAAAACACAACAAATAGATGTAATTAAAGGACTAGATCATCAATAATAAGCCCAATTTAAGTTGGGCCTTTGATACTTGATAGATACTAAAGAAAGGGCCTGTGTGATTTATTATTTATATAATTGTATACTCGGATATTAATAGAAAGAAAATGGTACCCATAAAATAATAAAACTAAAAAGGTTTATATTGCTCGACTTAGATTTTCTATACTGAAAGAGAGGTCCCACCATTGATTCAGTTCATGCTTTAGATTGTGGTGTTATTTTGTCACAAGACAAAAGGAGGTCCCCAATTCACCATTCTCGGTCTACTACAATGGAATTAGATTTTAAACTAGGCAGGGCTTTTTGGACCCAACCCTAGTGGATAATTCATGGGGATATTGACGTAACCCTAACACCAGCCCCCGAGTAAGTCACGAACAATGTAAGAAAAGTGCGATCTTTCGAGTGTTGAATTTGGAATATCTTTCTCCAGAGCATCTATCTCACGTCTCCACTTTATTGGACCAACTTGTGAGAATTTGGGTGAGATTAGTATTGAATAATGAACATTTAACGATATTATGAGTAAGAGGGTTCCATACCGACAAATTTTGATTTGTTCTGCATTGCACCTAATTATTTCATGGATCAACATTGCCACATTAAAGAATGTTAATTAAGTACCCCCACCATCTAGCAGGTTACAAGGCTAATCAAAATTGAATAATTGTGGCATTCTGTTTTCAAAACTCAAAATCAAGTGGTTAGTAGGCTTAATATACATAATTTTCA